TACTAATTTTATTCAAGCTTATAACTTGATTTATATCTTTTCATGGCCAATGCATGATTTAATGTGAAGAGTAGTGGTTTAAATTGTGATTGCAGTTGTGGTTGCGGCTGCGTTACTGTTCTCGTTGTGTTTATCGTAGTTATGAACATTATAGACGATATTGTGTTTTTTTTTGCAGGTATCATGATTGTGATTTTTTTTTGAGAAAATAACTTCAGTAATCGAAAATATCTTATATTATATGATTTTAATCAACTTTTTTTGTATTTGCGAAAATAACCATCAAATTCGCAACGCAAACTTTAATTTCGCAACATAATTTCCAAATTCGCAACGCGAATTTCCCAGATTCGCAACTCGAATTTCAAAACTGAGTTGAGAATCTGGGAAATTCGCGTTGCGAATTTGGAAACTGTGTTGCGAAATTGGAATTCGCGTTGCGAATTTGTTGGTTATTTTCGCAAATCCAAAAAAAAGTTGGTTAAAATCGTATATTATAAGGTATTTTCGGTCACTGAAGTTATTTTCTCTTTTTTTAAAGGAGTTGATCTTTTTATAAAAAAAATGAATTTTTTATAAATAGAATAATGGAACAATACCGGCATGCTATTGCCACAATTAGCTGCTAACTGTTAAATTGCAGCTGCAATCCATCACTGTTAATGTTATTCTGCTTCACATCGCAATTTTTCACAATAACAGTTTCGGACTCGCTAAGTAGCGGTCACTATTCTGTTACCCTGCCTTTATTTGAATCCTTTGCTAAGGGGATGTAAACATATTATCAGTAAAAAATATATAAAATATCTAAAATATACGTTAATTAAAATTTTTAGGGCATGCCTGTCTCCTTGCTTGCTTCGGTTCAGTCCATCCATGTACACCTATAGATATTGCTGTTAAAAGGTTGCTCTAAAACCAATGACGTTACTCTCATTATTCATTTTTCGTAAATCATTTATATTTAGATATGAGTATAGAGAGATGACTCTTCAAAGACCCTTCAATTCGTATTTGTGGTCGAGTAAAAATGAACATCGAGATTGGTATCCTTTGTTATGTTGGTGACTTTGTCTCACGTATAACCACATTCATTGCAGGCACATGGGTGACATAGACAAAGCCGGTAAAAGAATGGAACTCATGTTTACCAAACCAGAGCTTGAAACTCCTTCTGGCCTCAAGGCAAGCGCGGCCTCGACAAGAGTATACAATGCGAGTAGCTTTAGAGCCATTTTGCCTAAGCTTTACACAAGCCCTTTCGAGACCATCGTTTGCCGAGACACCAGACAGAGCATGTACTGTCAATTACTCTTCGGTTTAATACAACAAGATGAGGTTGTCATGATTGGTTCACTCTTCGCATCTACGGTTCTAAGAGTTTCAAAATTCTTGAAAATAATTGGCAAGAGCTATGCTCTGATATACGAACTGGTCATTAAGCGATCGAATCACTGACTCGGGATGCAGAAATGCAGCGTCATTGATCTTGAAGCCTAATCCGGAACTGGCTGACTTGATAGAAAACATATGTAGTTTCAACTCATGGGATGGAATCATCAGAAAGCTATGGCCTAAAACAAAGTACATAGGTGCTGTATGTACAGGCTCTATGATGCAATACACTGCAGAACTTGAGTTCTATTGCGGAGGGCTCCCTTTAGTGTCTGGTTTTTATGGTTGCTCGGAAGGTGCCCTTGGGATCAACTTAGATCCTCTATGTAAACCTTCGGATGTCTTGTACACGTTTCTCCCCATCGAGGTTTATTACGAATTCATTCCGATAAAGGACGAATGTGTTATGGAATCTCGAAATCAGGTTGAGTTTAGTGGTGTGTCTCACAAGGAATCTATAGAAGCCAGCAGCAACGGTGAAGATACTGAACCTGTTGAGCTTGTAAATGTGAAGCCTGGTCAATGTTACGAACTGCTTGTCACAAGTTCTTCAGGTAAAATTTCTCCTACTTCTAAATCATAAACCAAATTTAATCAAATGCCGATACTAACGCATCGGATAATGATCTGATGTTTCAGGATTATATCGATATAGAGTCGGAGACGTTGTTATGGTGACCGGTTTCTACAACAATACACCTCAATTCCGATTCGTGGGGAGGCAAAATGTTGCTCTAGCCGTTGACTGGGAAAAAACAAGCGAAGCAGACCTATTGAAGGCAGTTACAGAAGCAAAGACTCTTCTCGATCCTATTGGATTCATCCTGACAGAGTTCACTAGCTACAGCGATACATCTTCAACACCGGGCCACTATGTCATATTGTGGGAGCTTAAACCAAAAGAAGGCAACGATTGCAACGAGGTCGACCCTAAGGTAATGGAAGAATGCTGCTCTCGAATCGAAGATTCGTTGCATTTTACCTACAGATTGTACAGGAAAGAGAACATAATTGCAGCATTGGAGATTAGGGTTGTAAAACAAGGAACTTTTGAGGCACTAATGGATTACTTTGTGTCCCAAGGAGCTTCTTTGAGCCAATACAAGACACCCATTTGCTTGAAATCTGAAGAAGCATTAGAGATATTGGATTCAAGAGTTATAGCAAAGTTTTTCAGCCCTACAACTCCTATATGATTAGTTGATTCTTTTACTGTTTGAAGTGTGTAATTCGAATCCATCAAGCGACCCAAGTGGTGAGAGGGAGAGTTATTCTACCTAGAGATCCCGGGTCCGAATAATATTTGCATCATTTGTTTCTAATGTTATTTTAATCCTTTATTTAAAGAACAATTTGATCTTTGTTCTTATTATTTGTAGTTCTGTTTCTTGAATGGAAATGTATAAGAATAAGTGTATATGTAATTGGTAATATAATATGCTACATCATAGAAAAAAATTAATAAAATAAATGTTAGTGACTAAAATAGGAGCAATTCAAAAGGGATTAAATTAAAAATTTTAAATTTTAGTTACTACAATAGGAGTGAGAAGTTAGTTAAGTGATGAATGATGTAGTTTACTCAAACTAATAAGCTACTAAGCATGCGTGGAATTCCACGAAGTTCAAGCTCAGCAATTTCCCACAATTCTCAAGCTTCAAACCCTGGTAGCAATATATATTTATAAAGATAATTAATTGATTAAATGTAAATACGTAGTAAGAAATTAATTTAATTTTGTTTATTTTTAATCAACATCTAATCGTAATGATATAATATTATATAGATTTAAATTATGTGACAAGATTCGGATCAATACGGTCATAATCTGACTTGGTCGAGTTGTTGGCATTGAATTTGTTTAGGTTCTAACTCGAGCTCAAGTCTAAAATAGACATGGAGAGATGAGAAAGAAGAGAAGGTATAAGAAGAAAACAATGACAAAGCTAAGATCAAACATCGAGAGAAACTATTTTGCTTTATAATAAAAGAATAAAGATAATTGATTAAATCATAAAATACGAAGAGATGGATGGGACCGATGAATGGCCCTCAAGCCGACACCAATAGTAACTGATTAAATCATAAAATATTCATCAAAAAAATAAAATTAATTATAAATAAAATAAAATTCAATTTAATTTAGGTATGTCAGAGGTGTAATGAAACCAAAGTTTTTTTGGATGATGGGGGACAAAGTGTAGTTGATAACGTGGGCTGTGCAGGGCTCCATGTTGTGCCTATCCCCTCTGTTAATGAGCTTCGTGAGGAGCATGTTACTGTCGATAAAGTCAAGCTTTTATGGATGAAGGGGGACAGCATGCAACTGATTTAGTGGAGTGTAGTCGTGAGAAGCACGTGTTTGACGATAGTGCTGGTTTAATTAATATTAATAGGGGAATGGATCTAGCATGGGCGATCAACCCATACTCACCAGCACTAGGACTTTTGACGTGGCTTTTGACGAGGTGTCTTCCTTCCTCGTGTTGGATGAGGAGCATCCGGTAGATAACTGTGTTTTCAGTTCTGGGAGCTCTCTTATGAGGCCTATTATCCCCAGTTCTTCGAGTGTTGCTAGAGTTTCTAAGGCTAGAAGAAGGTGGGCGTGTGGGGTTAGTCTGAGAGCGTCGTCAAGACTCATTCTTGAAAAGAGGAAAATCTTTGATCGAAGGTGGCGGGATGGTAGGCCAAACGTTTAGAAGTAGTCGCAATCCTGTTGGGAGCAGAGATAAAGTGTATTATGAGGGAGTTCGAAGTGATTATGATGAAGCGGAGTTGGCTCTAGCGGCTTTCGTTGCTTTGGGGTGGAATTTACAGGGCTGAGTAGGTTTTCGGTTTTCATCGTTTGATTTCTCTCCTGAAATCTGTTTGGAGTTTACGATGCTTTACCTTTGGTCGCTGTCGTCTTTAGTAAAGGTCTGTTTTTCCAGTGGACGGTGGTTGCATGGCTAATGTTTCTGTTTTGAGTCTGAAGCTGCGTTTTTGCTTTTCCTTATCATTTCTTTTGTCCGGTCATGCTCCCTGATTAGCTTGGGGTTGGTTTTTATTGTTTGTCTTGATCCTATACTGGTTTTGCTGGGGTTTGTCCCATGCTGTGCTGCTCATTTCTGTTTGTGTGTAATGGTCTGTTCTTTGCTCTATTGCACCTCAAGCATACTCTTTTTTCCTCCGAGTAGGATTAAGAAAGTATTTTAATGAGGGCCTTAAGGTGTTTACTTTGTTAATCTCTTAATACAAAGTAACCTTTTACAAAAAAAAAAATTAATTTCGATTTTTAAACTTATGAATCATAAATCGTCTAAATATTTCAATCCGGATCAATTTTGATAAATTGATTATTATTAGTCAGATCTAAACAGTAATTATCGATCAAATCTTAAATTTCAACATAATCTAAGTACTAAAACGAGAATTAGACCCTAAAAAATACCTTGAAAATAGACAAGAAGTTGACATGCTCCTCGCCATGTTTCCCTCCCAACCACACTTTGAAGTTACCAAAATGTTATTTTCTTTTTCTTTTTCACTCTCCCAAAGAAAACTTTTACTGTTTTATCATTGTTATTGTTACTAAATATTACCACAACACCCATAGTTTACGCATAGACAACTATATACACACATTTTGATCATCAAATCTCTTTCCCTTTTGTTGTGAAATGGTTGGCCGCCGTTAAACCATCGTTGCGAGAGACGGAGACGAAGAGGCGACCATCATCGTCATCATCATCAACAACGTACTACATGGGGCGTCGTCTCTTCAAATGTTTATGCAAGTGTTCTTCGTCGGGGGATGGATCATTCAACCGAAGAGGCAATGGAGAGAATGACGATGAAACAATGTCGGCATCTTTGGCCGACGGGCCGGTCCTCGTGGAGTTGTTCTCGTCCCAGGGATGTACGAAGGCGCCGGCAGCGGAGCTGTTGTTGTCGAGGCTGGTGAGGGGAGATTTTCAGCTGGACGCGCCGGTGGTGGCATTGTCTTACCATGTCGATCACACAGGGTGGAAAGACCCTTACGCCTCGGGGAATTGGAACGTGAGACAAAAGGCTTATGTCGAGGCGTTAAACCTCGACGGCGTGTTTACGCCTCAAATCGTGGTTCAAGGTAGGGCTCATTGTTCGGCTGACGAAGAAGATGCTTTATTATCCATCATTGCTCATGCTCCCAGGTTCCCGGCTCTAAGATTCAAGGTTGATTTTGCTTATTCCCCTACTTTTCTTTGGTTGATTTCTTTAAGAGTTAATTTCATCGTACATTTTCTATCATATTCTCTTCTTAAAACTTATACGTCAAATATTTATTATGATACGATAGAAAACATATTTTAAACACGTAAATTAAAGTTTGATCATTTTTTAAAATGTGATTTAAACTATTCATAAACCGACAAGTTTATAATTTAAGACGGAATTACATGATTAATATGATATTAATACTTTGAGATTCAATTACAATATCTTAAAATTTAAATTAATTTAGAATTTAAAACGTGATTTAAGAAAGTTTGATGCATGTAATATGTAACAGGCTAATTTCCAAAGGCCGACATCGGAGGCCTTGGAAGTAACCCTAACCGGAGCATTGAGGTACAAGGTAGACAACAACGTCGACAACGTAATGGTGGCCTTATACGAGAGCGGGTTGGTGAACGAGTGCCTTTCCGGTGAGAACAAAGGCAAGGTGCTTTACAACGACTTCGTCGTACGGAAACTCGAGAAGCTATGCACCGTCGACGACATATCCGCCAAGAAGACACTCTCGGTCACAGTCACTTTCACTCTTTGGGATGGTTTCAATAGCAGCAAGTGTTCCATTGTTGTCTTTGTTCAAAACATTTCTCGACAAATTTTTGGTTCCCAGTACTTTCAACTGCCTGATGATTTGTGAAGAAAAAAAATGTTGGAAAAATGTTCTATTGCATGGTGACCAAAAGTGTTGTGTTTTTTTTTCTTCTTCTTTTGAGTATTGTTTTTTCATTTTATTTATATTTTAATATTATCAAGAGAAATATTTTGAAAAAAATAAATAAATCTTTCATGAACCATAATATAACTTGAAATATATAACTGAAACTCCTCAAAATATTGAAGCCCTATGACATTGAAACTTCTTTAGAACCACCACATAATGTCATCAAAATGATATTTATTTTATTAAAAATAAAATAAATATCAAAACTTGGGGGACGACGAAAAGGATTTAACTATCCCCTAATTACACAAATACCCCTCGACGATAAATAGCTCAAAAACTATATAAAAATTTATCATTTTCCTCCAAAACAAAAAAAAAACCAATCACCCTAAAAAACCTCTCTCACCCAAAACTGACCGCCGAAGGCCGGTCACCTTCCTCGGCCGCCCAACGCCCTCCGGTGGCTCGAAAAAAACTAAAATAGCCCGAAATACTCCCCTCGAGCCCGTGAACCTGAATCCAACCTTAGAAAAACGAGATAATGCCTCAATCGAAGTAGATCTAAGCCCCAAAATTACGGCTTTTACCTTTGTTTCACGGTGACCTTTTGAGTTCCGGTGGTCGTTCCTCCTTTGATCTCACACCGATATTTGCTTTGATTTCCTTTGCTTTTCCCGATGTCTATTTCTTTGTGTTTTGGTTGGTTCGACTGCTGGTATTTGCTTCATTTGTGTTTCGTGGTTTTTGTGTTTTCTTAGTGTTGGTTATTGTTTCCCATTGTTCCTTGGGTGTGCCTCGTCGGAGGTATTTATATCACTCCTTCGAGAGTCTGTTGTCGATCTTGAAGGGGTCGTTCCCCTCGTTTCGGGTTTACCATCGTTCACGTGGTCGAGAATCCCGAGATAGTGTAGTCTCGGTTTTCTCGGTCGGTCGGTTCTGCTTTAACTGGGATTTGGTTGCATGGCTGTTGGATTGGATCAGATCCAACGGTCCAGATCTTGACAGCGTGACCATGTGTCTCTTTAGGGTTTTGTTACACTTGGTGTAATTTAATCTTGGTCGTTCGTTCGTGCTTTGATCACACGGCTCCCATCTGTGCGGCGTTGTACCTAAATATGAAAATCCTAATCTGGGTGGGCTTACTGGGTTAGGCCTGCCTACCCGGTTTGGCAGCCCACACCCTTGCTGAACCTGGACCGAATTAAAATAAAATAAAACATATAATAAATAATAAAAGAAATAATAATAATAATATTTTTTCAAAAATATTTCCCAAAACTATATAATATATATATTTTCAAAAATATTTTAAAACTATATTATATATATATATATATATATATATATATATATTCGAAATGTTTTCCAAAACTATATAGTATATATATTTTTTCAAAATGTTTTCAAAAACTATATATTATATATATGTTTTCAAAATGTTTTCAAAAATTATATATTATATATATTTTCAAAACCGATTTTTAAAAAACTATATGTTTATACTATATTAAAAAGAACTCCGGACGAAAATGAGTGTCTATAATTATAATCCGTAAAATAGGTTTAGTAAGTACAAATCTGGAACTCCAACGCGAATATATTTAAAAAAAACACACATTTAATTTGGATTTATATTTAGTATAAACATTTGAGATTAAATTGAAAATCGAAAAGTGAATATGAAAGTTTAAAGACAAATTGTAAAAGATGCAAAAGATGAAACTCTGCATGTCAACTGATCCAAAAGATAACCTTTGTATATTTTGATGGACTTTGGTAGTTAGGTGTTAATTATTTACGTGAAGTAACCTCAGTGGTTAAAGAGAGTGTTGTTATATTTTGAAATTATGGGTTTGAGCAATTGCATCAGCAAGGGGGTGCGTGTGTTAAAAAAGATAATGAACGAATACTAACTTCAGACTATTAAAAAAATATTTACGAGATTTTGAGCAATTTGCATCAGTAAGGGGTGTGTGTTATTATGTTTTTTTTAAGAACAATATACAGTCGGGACCTTCCAGGAGAGGGAAAGCTGGAGTTTTTCGATTAATCCATCAATCTAAGAAATAAATTAAGCTCAGATTAGATGAACATAGTCAAAATCAAGTACGTATTTGTGTTTATATGTTATATAACTTAAGTTTGTGTAGGTATTATTTATAAGATACTTAAATTATGATTTCGGCTCTAAATAGAGTATTTGGCTAGCATGTTAAACAATAAGATATGTTATTATGTGTTTCGAGATAAAATTTGATGTTTTGTTACATATAAGCATGTTGGTATATATGTTTGATATGTAAAATGTAATATCTTTTCGGATATATGATAATTGACATATCTAACGAGTGAAATTGAACTAAATACTCCTTTCGATAATGAGAATTATAAGTTGTGTTCTAATCTGATAAAGAAAATTGTAGTTTTCAAAACTTTGATAATGTGATAAAATGAGCCATTGATTATTAGTTTAGTTCTGAGTACAATTGACATGTCATAGGGTTAAAAACGATTGTGGTATATGCTTTTTAATTTAAAGAGACTTTGATCTTCTTTTAGTTATTCTCTTCTTTTCTTTTTCATCTTTCTTGAACATCTCGTTATCTGAGTGAAATAAAAGGTCTAAATATGACACTTTTGTTCATTAGTTAAACGAATTTAAATAAAAATTAAACTCATTTTGATTAATTTGTTGTCAATTTAGGTTCAAACATCTCTAGTTATAGAATACATGAAATTTAAGTATCATAATACTTTATTCGAATAATTCATATGTTCTTATTTTTACCTAGTATTGGAAATTCTAAATTCGAACTTAACTATAATTTATAAATAATTGAAAACGAGTATAAGAATTTAATCAAGCGAATTAGTGCAATTTAGTTTCCTATCTTGAATCGAACTTGAATTTTAAAATTTATAAATAATAAATTTGATAAAAAAAAATTCAACATCCACATAATGAAATCAGCGATTAAAAATTATAAATCATATAAATAAATTTGAGAAAATATGATTCTAGCAGAAGGCCTAAGCCACCTTTTTATTCCTCAACAGAAAAAAGGAGGGCAAAGTGTCATACCTCCTCTGGACCTCTTCCATAACCGACTTCTTTGATGATCAAAGCCTCCAGAATTAAATGTTACCTCCGAAAGATCTCCTCTGTTGACTCATTGACTTCAAGGTATCGTACACTTTGTCATCTTTTCTTGACTAGATCTCTTACAGGATCACGTAATCTGTCAAAGTTAAATATATTATCGGTCGATAACATCCATCCAATCTAACAGCTTAAAGTAGTCATCATGATCCTAGATTTGATACCATTATTACGGGTCACTATAAAACTTTTCATACAAGATTGAGGGAGAAGACTTTTGGAAAAAGACTACTTATTAAATTCTCTGTTTAGATTTTATGTATAAAAAGACATTGATCTGTAAATCTGTCAATAATCACCGATCGTAACTCTATGCCCAAATCAAAAGGGATGAAGTGTCTATAGTCGTTACAACTTAAATATTATCGTCACTATATTTATAAAAATCAAAAATAAATATATGTGATATTTTTGTTCATTAATTAATATGATAAAAATCATAAAAAAATTCACAAGCAAGATAATATGATATTATGAGACTTATAAGTGTATTTTGAGAAACTAAACATCAAAGTCAAAATATCATAAAATATTAGTGTTTCATCGTTGTCTTGTTGATTATAAGATTATCCATTTATCAGATTTAATTCTGATTCGATTTTGATTAAATCTCATTAAAATAAGTGTGTTTTTTAAATTTTCTTCTTAAACTTGTGATCATGCTATCTTTTAGGCGTTTAGTTGCTATAATTTTGTTGACTATTTCCTTCCTTGTATTGGCATTTCATGCTTTTGAATTAAACAATTCCATGTTTGCCGAGAAAAATGACATACTTTAACCTATATATAATCCTTAAGCTTGAACTGAAACCGCAATAAGACAAGGGAATAAAATTGTTTAGCCACCATGTGTGCCTCAATCAAGTTTCTAGCCTTGCTCGTCTTTGTAGTTGCGTCGCAAATTTCAAGCATCTCTGCAAATCGTGAGATTATCGGACTAATATCGCCCTACCGCACCCTCTTGAATGATGAACCCTCTCCGTCGCCTCTCCAAGACGAATCCTCTTCCTTACCTCCGTATGAGTATGAACCCCCGTTTACATGGGACGAGGTTCGAGGGTCGATGTCGCCATGCCTGCCCTTCCTTGTCGGTATGGATTCCGATCCATCGCCGACTTGTTGTGCTGGTGCTAAAACTCTTGTTGGAAGAACAAAAACCAAACGAGATGAACAAGAACTATGCTTGAGCCTTAAACTAATATTGCCACTACATGGTCCGTATGACCCTAAACAATTAACTCTACTTGGCGAGAAATGTGATGTTAATTTTCCTTTTCCTCCTATTATTGGCGATACAGATTGTTCCAAGTAACCACTTTCTTCCTTTCTCTTTCATCTTTCGTAAAGATCTCGTAAATCCTAAACCTGAAACCTTAAAATTCTCGTAATATGAGCGAAGTAAAAGGTATAAATATGAAAATATTAACGAGTCAATCGAGTTCAAATGAAAACAAACTCAAATTTAGTTTGTTTGTTGTCAAGTTGGATTCTAGTAGCTTTAATTATTGAACATGTCAAATTTATTTTAAATATTTGGCTCGAGTAATACATTTGTGTTTTTTTAATCTAATCAAGCGAACCACTGTAGTTTGATTTTGGGTAAACTATCGGTTTGATCACTTCTGTTTTTTGTTTGTACACTTCTATTCACTAAATTTAAAAAAGTTATGTTTCAATCATTTACATTATCGATTTATTAAATTTTGATTATTTACGTTATCGATTGTTATATTTTGGACACGTTAACTCAGGTTAATTTGATAATGTGACACGTTAGTAAAAAGAGGTTAATTTTTAATTTGACTCCTGAACTTTAGACAAAATATTAATTTAACCTCGAGCTTTAGATGAAATCAACCCGACTTGGAGCCATTTTACAAACCCAAACAGATTAGGGTATTTACCCTAACATCAGCAGCCACCACCGCCAATAACGACCAACCAACTGGCACGTGGACCTCACCGCTCATCCTCTCACCGCATAAGCCGTCGCCGAGCACTTCTGAGCTGCTGTCGTCATCAAAACCGGCCACATAGTAAAAGAAATCAATCCACCAAGTCAAATATCAACTCAAAGACAGAAAAACCCATTAAAAATTAAAAACAAATCCAAAACATTTTCCCGAGGAGATCTAGTTCTGTCACAAGCTTATTATATCAGTAGCAGCATCGAAGCAAGGACAAAAGTTCATCATACCTGAAGACACTTAATTTCATCCATGCTCGTTTAATTAGTATTTTATATATATATACATTATTATTATTTTAACACATATATTTATTTATTTTATATTTACATTGTTTCAGGACCAACTAAAACAACTCAATAGAACACCCTGATCCAGCTAGGGGTGTTCAAAATTCGGCTTTAACCGAATTAACCGACCGACCTGAATTAATTCGGTTAATTCGGTCGGTCGCCGAATTAATTCGGTCGGGGAACGATTAAGGATTTTTTGGAATTCGGTTAACGGTTAATTCGGTTCGAAATCGGTTAATTAACCGAATTAACCTTTAAATATAATTATATTAAGAGGCCCAAACCATTTAAAATCCATTTAAAACCCAAATCAATATTAATTAATTAAAATAATATCAAAAGTAAATGCAAAATGTTTGAATCAAATTAATTAGATATTATTTATAATTAGATATTATTTAAATTAATTGTAAATTGTTTTTTTAATTAAAAAAATATTAAATTCTAAAATTCTAAAAAAATTCGGTTAATTCAAAAATTAACCGAATTAACCGAAATTTATTCAGTTCGGTTAATATTTTCGAAAAAAAGTTCGGTTCGGTTAACGGTTAAAGAAAAAAAAAGTTCGGTTAATTTGAAAATGGTAGTTTCATCGGTTCGGCCACCGAATTAACCGAATGAACACCCCTAGGTCCAGTAGTGACCCAAAGCACGCAATCCACCTGGAAACTAGGGTTTCCAGAACCCTAGTTCATGCATCGCTTCCAACGGCGCCGAATGGCCGAGAGTCCCATGCCTCACGAGTCTTTACCATTCACGCCTTTATCCCGTGCTTCTCGGCAACCACCCACAACACACAAAGATCTCGCAAGACAACTACCAACAAACACCCACAAAAGATTTAGAATTCTAGTGTAAATAGTACTCTAAATATAATCAAATCCTAGAATATAAATAAGTGTAATCAGCACCATTTGGGGAGGGGATTTACATACAATATTAGGCACGAAAATACTAAAAAAAACACACAAGGCAGACCGGAGTTATTGTACACGATTCGAAAGGGAATAAGAAAAAAGTAGAAGTTTTTACCTTATTTTCTCGTTTATCACTCTTGCATGTTGTCATTCTTTTAAGGTTTGCTCGAAAACGATCAAAAAACACGAACGCTGATGACAAGAGGGGGAGGGTTTCGAGATATCGAACCTAGATCTACACCGTGGCTTGTTTTTTTTAAAAAAAATCTATTTTTGAAGAGAGGGGTGGAAAAGCTTTCGGGATTTAAAAAAAATCCACCGATGATCGGCGGTGCAACCGTCAGTTTCTGGAAAACCTAGGCTTGTGTTCTTCATTATCGAAGAACAAATGAGAGAAAGTTTTAAAAGGGGGTGTTTTCGTGAGAAGAATAAAGAAATGAGAAATTAAAAAAGATTTTTGAGTTAAATATGAGACCCGATGACCTTATTACGACCCGCGTGCCGACCCGACCCAATGACATGACCCGCGTGTTTCTGAAATAAAGAGGGTAAACTACGCTCTTGGACTCTCCAACGTTTCTCTTGATTTTCTAAGGGTACGTTTCCAAAACTATTAGAGGTAAGTAATTTGGATCTATATTTTACCTTTTAATTTAAATTTATAACTTTCTTAATTAAAGGCAACTGGAAACTACGAAGTACCGAAAGGGCAGTTCAAGGGTGCTAACCCTTCCTTGACTGCAAATGACTCCCGAATCTGACACATCTTTGGTAAGACGCAGATCAGGTAAGACATAAGATATCCGATCAACCCATTTTCTTTAAAATAAATGATCGGTGGCGACTCCTAACCAATTATCTCAAGTCGAAGCCCAATTTCGGGGCCCAACCGAAAGACGATTACGACAGCTTGACGACTCCATCGGGGATAAAGGTAAGTGAGTTAGGCTAAGGTAATTTCAAGTTGTCTTTTTAACGAAAAGGGTAAGTTTAAGTTTTAAGTTAACATTTCGATCCTTATTGCTTACTTTTGATTATATTTTTCGAGTAAATAGTTGTTCTAACTGTTTTCTAATGATTTCAGCCTTCAAAGCTTGTTTTTCACTTAAGGCTCTGAACCTTATTTAAGTGGGGGTGAAAGCGACGCCTTCGTGTGAATTTATTCACCGCACAGGCCTAGCAAGTAGCCTTCGGGATTCATATACCTTAAGTCTTCGTGTGAATTTATTCACCGCATAGACATAAGGGAATGTGTCCTCTCGAGTTTAACTTAGTCCACTCAAGCCTGTGATGGGTTTAGAACTAAGGGTCTGGTAAGCCCAAGGGGGCGCCGGTAAAGAGAACTCGGGTACCGTTTTTTAGAACCTAAACTGAGAGACTATGGAGATTTAGAGCCTACCCCGAAACCATATTCCAAAACCCAAGATTTTTTACTCTAATCATGATTTTTTTCCTTTTACTTTTCTTTCTTTCTTTCATCATTTTTTTTTACTTTTATTATTTTACTAACTTTTTGCCTTTCTGTTTGTTTTTTAGCATTTGCATCATGACAAGAGGCCATTGATCCCTAAAAAGGTATTTATTACACACAAAATAATCTGAATTAATAGATAAAGGTGTTGTAATACAAGAGATTAAAAACCCTGAGGTACGACTATAGTCCAAGAAGACCTAGAAGGAAAAGGGAGACAGTCTTTAAGGAAGCTATGTGTCAGAGCTGGTTAGCTACTCCCCTATTAGCCTGAAGCAGAATGATGTACAAGAGCTTCGAGACATCTGGGATAGTTGGAAGAATGATCAGAAATAGAAGTTCAGCCAACGGTACGGTGACATAACGTTTTTGCTTCATGTTAAGACTAATGAGCCCTTGATCAGAGCCTTGGTTCAATTCTAGAACCCAGGATACAGTTGCTTCACTTTTAATCGGGAGAACATGGTGCCCACCATTGAAGAGTACACTACACTGTTGCACTGTGAAAGCATCAAATTAGAGTGAGCTTACATTAAACATATCGAAAGTCAGCCTTTCAAGAATGCACTGGCCAAGGTTGTCGGGGTTGACGAAAAATGGGTAACTGACCGGGCTCGATGTAAGGGCAATGGGGAAGGAATTGCTTGGCTTCATATCAAGCAACTGATGATGAACCATCCCGATGAGTGGAATGCAATAGACCTGTTTGTACTGGGTTTGTATGGTCTGATTATATTTCCGAAGACTTTGAGATACATTGATGCTGCTGTAGTAGAGCTGTTTGAACAACTTCAGAAGAGAGTCAACCCAGCACCGACCATCTTAGCTGAAACCTTTCGGTCTCTCAACTATTGCAGAAGAACTGGCGGAGGGAGGTTCATTGGGTGTGCTCAACTCCTTCAAGTATGGATTCATTGGGTCTGATCTGATTTCTTAGTAATGTTGTTGTCCATGCCACTTCTATTCTGAATCTTCTAATTTCTTGGTACCTACGTATAAATCACTTACATGCTAAGTCATAGACCTAGTGAGGCAATAAATGAATATGCAACAATATCTTCATGAATATGCATTCTTACTATTTCCTTCATGACATTTCAATATGCATGTATCTATTACACAATAACATATATAATCATATCATGCATGTATAAAACTTACCTTCTTGTACCACTTTCACTTTACTTTGTATTTCAATTGCCCATGTATATTATTGAGAATATAGGTATGTGAGTACATTGAGGTTGTGCACTAATGCTGTCACCACAGCTCGTATCAATTCCCTCATGGGGAACCGAACCTTAGTTCAGTATTTGTCTCGAATGACTGTTATATATGTCCCGTAGGACCACTACATCCCGAAGGACTATTATACATTCGACTCTTGGCATGCCAATTACACCTATAGCTCTCATATCGTATACTATGGGCATTATTCTTATATTTCATATGTTCATGTACTCATGTCATTTCTCTTGTGATCATGTAGCTCATGTCATTTCTCTTGTGATCATGTAGCTCATGTCATGTTCTCATATCACATATCATATCACATGTGTATTTGAATCTATTCATATATATACATCATTTATCCAATCACATGAACATATATATGCCTTATGCATGTATTACAATAATTATCATGTATGCATGTTCACAACTAT